TTTCCACTTCTGATTCGATTTATTAGGGTTCTCTCTCTCTTTCTTTGTGAGTCTTGCTAGTGGTTTATCAATCTTATTTGTTTTCTCAAGGAACCATCTCTTGGTTTCATTGAACTTTCAGATTGATTTTTGGGTTTCCATGTCATTAATTTCTGCTCTTATGTTTTATTATTGCTTTCACAGCGGGTAGGGCGTTCGCCTTACAAGCGGCCAACATGGCCGACCCGAGTTCGATTCCTCCGCCCCTCTCGGAGAGCCCGGCAAGCTACCGAGAGTATTCGATATGCCAAACACAGTAACAACAAAGTCTCCAATGGAGACGTTACTGGGCCCGCTCGAGCAAATCGACGATCAACGGGAGGGCCTTTACCTTTACCTTTACCTTTCCTTTGGCCAGACTTGGGTTCCTTTTGTTGGTCTTTTTCTAATATCTTGCACTGTGGTTAGGTTAACCTTTCTTCTTTCCTTAGGAATGCTTGCAACACTAGAAATTTTCCTCTTAGCATGGCTTTTGCTGTATCCCATAGGTTCTCGTAGCTTGTGTCTTCATTCTCATTTGTTTCCAGGTATCTTTTGATTTTGTCTTTGATTTCCTTCCTGACCCACTAATTGTTCAACATTGAGTTGTTTAATTTCAAGGTGTTTGATTTGTTTCTTGATGTCTTTGTGTGATTCACTTCTATCTTGAGCGCATCGTGGTCTGAAAAGATTGTTGATACTACTTCTATCTTTCTGACTCTATTTTGTGTCCTAGCACGTGGTCTCTTTTGGAAAATGTTCCATGTACACTGGAGAAGAATGTGTATTCTTTCTTTTCGGGGTGTAAGGCCCTGTATAGGTCTATTAGCCCTTTCTCTTCTATTTCTTTCTTCAAAGCCAATGTTTCCTTGCTGAGTTTTGTTGTTGTTGATCTATCCAGAGGTGATAAGGCGATGTTGAAGTCTCCAACTACTATTGTGTTGCTAGCAAAGTCCTCCTTAAAATCTGTTAGCAGTTGTTTTATGTATTTATCTGGTCCCTCATTAGGTGCATATACATTTAAGAGTGTGATTTCTTCATGTTGTATTTCTTGATGAATAGAAAATGGCCTTTGCTGTTCCTTCTAATCTTTTTCATCCTGACATTTATGTACCTCAAAGTCTTTTACCAAGAATTTTGTACATTGAGGATTAGTTTTTAAATGGTAAGCAGAGTCTCCTGCCCCCACGCCTGTCTGTCCTCGCTGGGGCCCCTGAGACAGGGGCAGGTTGAGTTTCCTTCCCTGCCTTGAGCAGAGTTCCGGCAGCTGAAGACCTCCAGAACCAGCCACCACCATGCTGAGACCACTCTCCACACACATGAAGGTACTGACAGAGGAACAAAGGCATGCGGGTCCCAGGGCTGAGATCTCCAAGCCTGCTTGGATTGGGGCTGAGCATCCTCCACCCAGATCCTCCATCTTCCAGTAGGCAGTGGTCACACCCACCAACTGGCCCCCTGGCACCGTGTAATCCCATCAACGGCTAAGACCCAGAGACTATAAAACCCAGCTCCCGGAAGACATCTTTTTCTCTCATTCTTATTTTGGACAACTTGGCAGGCTACCGAATTAACCTGCCCACACGGCAGAGTCTGGCCAACTCCCCATGGCATGCCCAATCTGCCAAGTACCAGTAACAGTGATGGTTCTCATTCTCCTAAACCTGAAAGAGCCTTGAATATGGCACTTTTTAAAATATCAGTGTTAGGACGAAGGAGACATTACTGGTGCCTGCTCGAGGCAATTGACGAATAACAGGATGATCGTGATCGTGAAGCAGATATAACAAATATGTTGTAATATGTTATAAGCCAGTACATACGTGCCTTTAAAGTTCTTTATCTTCTCCTATTTAAAAAATAAATAAAAGTTTGACTGTGAGGATCGGAGTTTGGTTTAGGTCCTCTATTCTGACTGAGTAATGATACACTTTTTTCTAGAATTGAGATGTCCCCTTACTTTCTAAATATGTTATGTTTTTTATGTCTCGAGCACTCAGACATGACATATTTGGACCTAGTTATATAGTTTACATTTCTCTACAAGAGGGGACAATTTAGCAAAGGGATGTTCATCATATATATATATATATGTGTGTGTGTGTGTATACATATATATGTGTGTATGTATATAGATACATAATTTCACAAATATAGTACTTGTCGATAGACCTTTGATCTACTTCTGTGTTTCCTTCTTTTTGTCGACAGTTCCCATTCCAAGTGTAGCATTAGCTATAAATGTTCTCAGGCTGGCCCTCAAATAAATAACTCTTTCCTACTCTTTAGCATATCATACCCTGAGAAAAAGCATTTCTTGAAAGTCTGACTTTTGCAGACATTTAGCTGTGACTGCCTTCTGAACTTTGCATTCATATTCATTAATTATGTTCTTCCTCAAGTAGCTTGTAAATGTTGTCTTTGTAAGGGACAAAGATCAGCCCAGAGGTATTTTGATTCACTGGTTTATTGATCATAGCTAAGAATTCTTTTATTTGGAACTCTTCACTTAGAAAGTCAATTTGATAACCTTTGCCTGTTCATTTAGAAGTGTCAGTTATAAGTAGCCTTCCCAGTGAATAATGAAGGGCCGAAAGTTACTACTAAATTTAATTAAAATGTATTTATAAAACCAATGGAAAGCTAAGAATTAATTTGTTTTCTTATTGATTATTATATCAGTCACTAATTGCTAAGAAACTGACATTGTAGCAAGCAATAATACTCTTCAATTCCTTGGCTAATCATTAGATTTTTAGTATTCTTTAAAGTAATTACTCATTTGTTTCATAATTCACAATGTTCAGGTAAAATGGCTTGATATTTTGTGGAGAGAGTAATAAACTCAGGCGCACATTAACTTCCATATATGATTCTATCCTGTCAGTCTGTACTATTTTTTTCTCTTTTTTTTTTTTTATTAGTGAAACACCATGAGGTACAGTTATAGACTTACAAATTTTTGTGCTTGGGTTTCAGTTATACAATGATCAAGTATCCATCCCTCCACCAGCGCCCATCCTCTACCACTGCAGGTCCCAACATCCCTCCCACCCTCCCACCCCCCCATCCCCCCATCCCACCCTGCCTCTGTGGCAGGGCATTCCCTTTTGTTCTCTCTCTCTCCTTTTGGATCCTGTAGTTTGCAAGAGAGGCATTTAGTGGCAATCATGTTTGGTCTATAGTCTACTTTCAGCATGCTTCTCTATTTAAGTAATTTGTGGTTAAGGTTTTTATTTATGCTGAGTATTCATAGATGTTGGTGTGTCAGTTTTGCACAGATTAGTGTAAAAGTGTTGGATTATTGTGGTATAAAGTCTATAATGGTGGTGTGGAGGGACCCATTACTGAGTCTTTAACCCCAGGATGCTACTATGTTACAATATTTTCTTTCCATTGGAAGGAAGTAGGATGGACAGATTATGATCCTTACACTCAAGTAACACATTCCTATAGTTGTTTTTTTTTTTTTCGGTGCCCTCCAGTAGTGCTGAAGGAGAGTAGATGATAACTCTAAATTCCTAGCCAAAGATTCCTGCCTATGAGGATATAAAATAAAGGAAAAAATTATGATGGAATCTCAGCATAGAGAACTAATTGCTACCATAAGGGATATGGAAAAGGGTGCATGCCACTTTCTTGTAGTTTCTTTCTGATTTGATACCTGTAGGTAAGCAGCTTGAAGTGTAGGGTAGCACTCTAGCTTCTGTTCCTGTCCCTAAGAAATTTTGCTGTGAGCAGGGTTTTTGGCCAATGAGAAAGTTGAAAATTTCTAGCACCATGGAATGGACTCAGTAGTGCTGATAAAGCCTGGTAACCTTTCATTATATCTGACCACTTTTGGTCTCATAGAATCAAGTGTAAAATGGTTTTGTATAATTCAAGGTAGTGGTCATAATTTTAGGAGACCCCTACATAAGAATATCATCAGAACAGACATTGTTATTTTATCTTCCAACTGAGTTCCAAGAAAAAAAAATGCTACTTTACTGAAGGTTCCAGAGTTAGTTAATAATCAACAAAAATAATATTAATTTGGGGAGCTGGCGCCTTATCTTTGTATCTCTGATCTCTCTAGCCCTCTCTTACTCACTTTTTTAAAAAAAAATTTATTGAGCCATCATGAAACACAATTACAGAGCTTTCATGTTTGATATTCAGTGATACAATGTTAAATCACCCATCCCTCCACCAGTGCAACTTTCCACCATCAATAACCCTGTTATCCCCTCCATTTCCATCTCAGTTCTTACCCTGCCTCTACTTTTTGCTAAATCTTATGGAGAACTTTTATGGGGTTATTAATGAAATAATATCATAAGGACAAAGGAGGGTGACAGGATAAGGCATATTTTTTCTAGACTCTTTGAAAGAAGGGAAAGGTGCTGATTCATAGTTAAATTACTAAGGATGAAGATATAATAAAAATGGGTGACTCAAAACCTAGTGCAGCCATGGCAGGCAGTCTGTAGCGTAATGGGTAATGCTAATTATATTGTTTGTTTATTTAGCAGAGATGAACAGATAAAAATATTCATGCTATCTTGTAGAGTATAGGTTTCTTGAAAATACCAACTATATCCTTTTTATCTTTGTTGCCCTGAGTTTTTTTTTTAATTTTTATTTATTTATTTATTTATTTTTATTTATTTTGCTTTTTGGGTCATACCCAGCAATGCTTAGGGGTTACTCCTGGCTTTGCACTCAGGAATCACTCCTGGCGGTGCTTAGGGGACCATATGGGATGCCGGGGATCGAACCTGGGTCAGCCACGTGCAAGGCAATGTCCTACCCACTGTGCTATCACCCCGGCCCCTGCCTTGAGTTTTTAAAGGTCAAGAAAACTATTACAGTTGCTTCTTGTCCTAACTTAAGAGAAAGGTGGTAGGATATTTTTTTTCTCCTGTTCCATCTAGCCTAAAAAACTTTAATTTATGGATTCTCAAGTGATATTCAGACATGTTCCTTTCCCCTTTATTTAGTTGTCTGTTTTGATGCCAAGATAAACTTCGATGACAATGCAGAATTCCGGCAAAAGGACATATTTGCTATGGATGACAAATCAGAGAATGAACCAATTGAAAATGAAGCTGCCAGATATGACCTAAAATACATAGGACTGGATGGAAACATCGCTTGCTTTGGTAAGAAGTCATTTATATCAAAAGAGGGATTTACAAAATTTTTTGGTACTTAAGAGCTGGATCCCTCTCTCAAGAAATAGTATTTTCTAATCACAAGTAAGCATACGTTTGTTCAACCTAAAGGTCTCTGCAAAGAACTCATATTTCTTTCTAAAGTTCATTTTGTTCAGTGGTCTTGGATTTGAAATGGTCTCTCAACGCTGGCACTGTTGCTATTTTAGGTGTGATAAATATTTGTCATTGAGGAAAAGGGTTGCTGTCTTTTGGATTGTAAGATATTTAGCTGTGTCTTTTACCTTTAGGTCCCCTCTACCATTCTTCAGTAGTGACAAACAGAATGTTTCCAAACATTGTCAGATGTTTTCTGATAGACAAAACCACCACAGATAAGGGATGAAAGTTTATTTGGGTTTTTTTTCTGGGAAGTCAGGGGACACCCAGCAGTACTTGGGCTTACTCCTGGCTTTGTGCTTAGGGATCATTCCTGGCAGTGATCAAGGGACCATACTTTCTGCTGGGCATCAAATGAGTTGGGTGCTTGCAACCCAAGTTTGTTGGTCACCTTTCCTATTGTACTATCTCTTTGGCATAGCTGATATAATTTAAACTATATCAGGTAAACTTTGCTTAGCAATCAGCACCTTTACTACCTCTTGTCAAGTTAATATCTATAAACTATTAGGACATTGGATTTAACATAAAATTCTTTTCTCAGAGGATGTAAAAGAAAACACAAACTTTAATCATTATGCTCAAGAGACAGTTTGTTTTTTGAAAACAAAATTGTAAAATGTTTAATTTCACTTTTCTAGTTTATTAGTAAAACAATCACTACCATTTAAACTTGTGAAATGCCCATCCAACAACAGTAAGATTGGATTTGTTGGGGACTCAGTGATAGTACAGTGCTTGGTTTACATGCAGCCTACTGGGCAATCTTTGGCACCCTATATGGTCCGCCAAGCCCCTCCCGGAGTGATTTTGAGCACAGAGCAAGGGGTACATCCTGAGCATCAATGAGTGCTCCCCCAAACAAAACAAACTCAAAACGAATCACTAAGAATGGTCTATCGAGGCAATACAATTTCTGTTACCATCCACAGATTATAGTACTGGGACTTACATGTGTTGTTATTTCTAGCAGAACCAATCCATTGCACTGGAAACAGAGGTCTTAATCTTAATGAAATTAAAATAAAAAAGATTTATAGCACATTAAAACAACAATTTCATTATATTCAGAACTGAACATATACTTTCTCCAGTAGTTTTCTCCTCGATACAATAAAAGATAACATCCAATTACAAATGATATCAGAAACTCTTGCTTTATACTGGAACAATAACTGTAACGTATGAGATAGTTCACATCACTCTTATCTTGATAAGCTAATATAGCATTTATATTTGTAGGCATTTAGAAAGGGGAAAGATATATTGAAATGTCTAGAACAAATTAAATGCAGATTATTTGTACCTTCTGTAGCCGTGTGCATGTTTTGACCAAGCTAGCCTCAAAAGCTATAATTAATATATTTCCAGTTACTTTAAGATCCTATAGAAACCATTTTTTATTTCAGTTGCCCCTGAACTAATTAAATTATTCACAGTTCATAGCCTTGTCTGGGGAACTCAAGGATCAGAAAACTGAGGGGAACTTTACCTTGAGACTTGCTGCTGTGTTCTGGGATATTTTTCCCCTTTCTAACTCAAGGAAGGTAATTAAGCATTAGAAGCAAACAAATGCAATTAATCATTATAATAAGCTTGGAAAATAAGAATGTTTTATTTTATTTTATTTTTTTAAGAAAAGTTCGTAAGATATTTCCACTTTCTGATACTAGTTTCAATTATCAGATTTCTACTTTTTTTTAATTTGACAAATAAGTAGAGTGTAGAAATATTGTTTTGATGCTTTTAGTTTTTTCTTATGTTTCCTAATTTTATACATTAGTTAAACACGCGTGGTTGCACTTAGAGTAAAAATGTATGGAACCCTTTTGAAGTTGGGGCCCCTAAGGTTCAAACCCCAAGGAACCCCACATTCAAAGGAATGCATTCTAAACCAAAAAAATTTAAAAAGAATTTAGTACCTGACTCATTTCTATAAGTCTATTTTAAAAGAATGTATTTCATAGACCCCAGGCTATATTTTCATAGTCTTCCTCTGTCTTTCCCAAATTTCTTAAACTTTGTAACTTCCAGAACCTAAAACCTTTTCTTCTGCTCATTCAAAATATTTATTTACTTAACCTCCTCTCTCTTTCTGTTTCCCAGATTGATTTAACTTCTCAGTAAATCCATCTCCCCATTCCCAGGTATTTTCATTTATTCTTTGTGTGTTCTTTTCTGATTCTTAATTCTAAATGTCAGTGTAGTTATCTGTGTTAATGTACTAAACAGGACAGATATTGGCCTCATAGTGTGACAGAGTGCTTTTTTGGTAATACGGGGAGGAAATCAGGTTTTGCACCCTTTCATATTGATAAATTTACCCTGACTAGTGTGCCATTTGCATTTTGCAGTGAATGGTGCTGGTCTTGCTATGGCGACTTGCGACATCATTTTCCTGAATGGTGGGAAGCCAGCCAACTTCTTAGATCTTGGTGGTGGTGTAAAGGAGGCTCAAGTATATCAAGCATTCAAATTGCTCACCGCTGATCCAAAGGTAATCCCTGTCTTTTTAGGGAGATTGCATAATGTTCTAATTTTTCACTACCATGATCTGTCTCCTTGCTTCTAAGAGTTAGTAAAACCAGCAGACATACTTTCTAGCATAACTAATCCTGGGCAAAAGGCTTTAGAACAGTGTTCAGGGTGGTGGGAGAGAAGAAAAATGACACAGTGCATGAGACAGTGAAACACTGGTTAACCTGAACTGTTGTTTGGGTTATTTACACCTACATCATCAATCTTACTTAGAGACAACTCAGCTTCAGATTTCTTCCACAAAGACACTGTCAGAAGATTAGAGACAGAAAAAAATACTGTGATAAAACGTCATTTACAACTGGAAGATATTGACACCGCCTCTTACTGTTTAAAATTATCATCTTTGTTGCATGTGTTATAGTAACATAAAATATCATTTTCTAACTATGACTGTCATACCCCTGCTAGCTGCAAAAGTAGTTATTTATTAAATACTTAAGTTAAATACTCCTAAATTTCCATAATGTATTAAAATAATAATTAATAAAAAAGAGGAAAAAATAGTTTTAAATATGTTTTGTTTCCAATTTAGGTACTCAATTGTCCCTCATAATGAGGTTCAGGTGGAGGTACATTACTTGGAAAGGATGAAAAGTTTTTGAATGACATATATCATTTTGTTCTATCAGGTCTTTGAGATAATACCATAACTTCTAGATTTTAAAGTTAGAAAATTATTGTCTGAATATTTTTCATTTATCTAAATAGTCTGTTGTTTTCTGGTATCTGGACCTACTCAGATTTCTATGAGTAATCTGCATCGTTCCTAAAAATATTGTCAATAAAAATAATACCAAATTTATTTTTAAAGAAACATAGGCTGGGTTTATTTCTATCTAGAGAAGCCTATGTTCTCTCTTGAACACGTTTCTCTCTGCCTTTCTCTCGCCTCACATTTCTCTAAATTCCATTTTCCTTGGGTGGGGGGCTACACCCTTCAGTGCTCAGGGTTACTCCTGGCTCTGCATTCAAGAATTACTCCTGGCAGTACTCAGGTGAACATATGAGTAGCTGGAAATAAAACCCTGTCAACTGCATGCAAGGCAGAGACCCTACCTCTGATTTATGGCTCCAGCCCCATAGTTCTCTAAATTTCTTTCAATAACAACTATTTTGCTTCACTGGAAAAAAAGAGGCATTAAATCATAGTCTGAATGTAATCAGAATTTCCCAGGATTATTAAAGGTTCACATAACAAAATTTATCATGCATTTGTATGCTTGTCTATTTTTATTATGATTTAAATGACACTTTTTGTTAACCCTTCATTGAGATTCACAAAGTGAAAAAGTAAAGAATTATCTTGCTTTCCAGTTCTGTTCAAAAGTAGCAATATTACTGAAATCTAAAAAATCACCTAAGCCATAAAGCATTTGTTAATTTTTCAGTTCACGTGAACACTCCATTTCCATTGGCTAAATAATAGCATGATCAGTTAATTTAGCATTTATTTAATTTGTCCTTTTGTTTTGTATTTTTGCCCAAGAGAAGAATCATTTTCTTCCCATAAATTTTCAAACCAATAGAAATCTGTAAATGCCATAGAAAAAATGCATAACTTTTAAACTGCTTGAACCACAAAGTACCTAGTGAGAGGAGACTATAATAAAATACTCAGTTTTTATTATCAACTAAAATTCAGAGCTAAGAATAATAAGAGAGTCATCCAGGGATTAAATCTACCAGGATAATCATTGAACTTTCTTTGGACTATCTCTTCTTAGTGGCTGATCCTGAATTTTAATTTTGTAAAAGTGCAGCAAGGGAATGAAAAATCACTGGCAGGGCTATTTTTTAGAAAACAATCTCTTCAAAAATTTTGACTTTGCCCTATGGAGTATTTTTAAATGCTTGGAGTATTTAAAGTCTTTTAAGATTGGCTGTCAACTTTTGTAGATAAAGGTATGTGGGAGTTATTTTATTTTTCTTATGCTATATCAGGAAAATGAATGCATAGCAGATCTCACAGTACTTTTTCCAGATCTTGAAGTCTCAAAGCCAGTTAAAAGCTTAGAAATGTAATGGATATTTTCAATCTGGCAATGTTTCACAGATTTCAGAGAACAGAGGCTAAAATATCGTAGAGAGAAATTGATTTGATTTTGCAAGGAAACTGGTTGTAGTTTTGGCAGTAATTATTCCAAGAAGAACACCATCCAGCTATTCAGAAGTAGAAAGTCCCAAGAGTCCAAAGCTAATTATTTCAAAGTTATTGATTTTCTTGCTAGATATAAGGATAAGTCAGTTGAAAACTGAAACTCAAAATTATAAAAATCTGTTGTTAAGCTTAAGCCAACAATTCCTAACAACTCTTAGTTTGTCATATATAACCGCTAATTCTATTGATCAAATAATAAACATCAATCCAGAAAAATATTAGGATTGATATATTTTCCACTCACAATATCAACTTTAGTGATGAAACACATCTTTTCCTTCTCTTTCAGCATAAATCCTGATTTTCATTGGTACCTAAAATGAGTGCCTTTATTACTCATGCAACTCTAATTTGATTTTAATAGGAGTACTTCTGCCAGACTGTCCCAGAGTCTTTAAGATATCTGACTTAATAAAACAGATTTACATCAAGTGTATTCCCAAAATTCATATGTTAAGATTCAGTCTCTTTGTGTGGTAGTATTAGGAGCCTTTGAGATATGCTAAGACATTAAGCACATTTGGTAGATAAGTATATTAGGAAAGTAAAACCCTCATCAATGGAATTAGTGACTTTACAAGAGAGACCCCAGAGAACTTACTTTCTCACAGATGACCACTGGCTTTGGTCAGGTTCCCAAACTGAATTTGCTAGTGCTTCCATCAGGGGTGTAACGGTAGAAGGAACAGTAATGGATCAAGTTTGTTGTTTAACCCAGTTTGTTGTTCTGCCTTTTCTCTACCCCCCGTGGCCCCTTTTCTACAGTTTTCTCCCTGTGACCCTCCTGCACTACCAGTTGACCTGCACTACCAGTTGACCCCATAGTCTTTTTGCCATCTTAGGCTCCCGGTTTATGTGATTTTCACCTGTGGCTTTCTTGGAATATTCTGGCACACTTTATAGAGCAGACATAAAGTCAGTGGCCTCTGGTTGAGAAATGTTGGTTTAAACCAAGCTCTATGGTAGTTAGTTAACGCCACCTGAAAGTCTAAAACAACAGCCAAGAAACTTACTTCTATCCTTTTTTTTTTAAATCTCACTTTATTTCAAAGAGTGACTGCTCCCCTAATTTCAAATATTTTCTTTTTTCCTGAGCTTCACATACACAGCAGTGCGATGTATACTCTCTTATACTCATATATATTGTTGGTTCGGTCATTTTTCTAGTTTTCACTTTTCTATTTATTGTGCACCTCTACCAGAATTTCTCATCTCTTTTTGTTGATGGGCATTTGTATTACTGTTTGACTGTTATGGATATTAATATTATGGACAGTCTCACACACACATCCTTTGACTCAGTGTTTCTCAATATTCTGGGGCTCGGCACAGATGAAATCTGCCTATTTCAAAGCCACAGAAATAAAATTGCATGCCATATTTTCAGCATCAGATTTATACAAATACCTTGTTTCAAAATGTTTTAGAATATATATATATATATATATATATATATATATATATTCTATATATATATTTCGTCGTTAAAGAAACAAACAGCACCCGGCCCAGACAAGGTCAGACCTGAACACCTGAAGAACCTGCCGTCAGTACTCATCAATACACTGGCTCGGCTCTTCACTCGCTACCTGTCTGAATGCAAGGTTCCGTCCCAATGGAAAACCAGCAGGACCGTTCAAGAAGGGAGACATCCATGACATTGGCAACTATCGCCCGATCTGCCTATTGTCTGTCATCTACAAGTTGTTCACTCGAGTCATCCTGAATAGGATTGGCAGAACACTAGATGAAGGACAACCATGCGAGCAAGCAGGGTTCCGCAAAGGATTCAGCACCATCGACCATATCCACACAATAACCAAGCCCATTGAGGTTTCTCGGGAGTTCAAGGTGCCGCTCTGCTTAACGTTCATTGATTTAAAGAAGGCCTTTGATTCTGTTGAGACGGAAGCGGTCATTGAAGCCCTAGCCAATCAGGGCATTCAAGCCCAATACATCAGGATCCTCCGTGAGCTGTATTGCGGATTCACTACCAGGATCTCACCATTCTACAAAGAAGTGATCGTTGATGTCAAGAGAGGGGTGCGGCAGGGTGATACCATTTCACCGAAACTCTTCAGTGCCACCCTCGAGAACATCATGCGACGACTGGAATGGGAAGGAATGGGAGTGAAGATAGATGGTCGGCAACTACACCACCTCCACTTTGCTGATGACATTGTTTTAATAACACCAAACATCAGCCAAGCGGCACAAATGCTGGCCGACTTTGACCGTGAGTGTGGAAAGGTAGGACTACAGCTGAATCTTACGAAGACAATGTTTATGAGAAACAGCCTTGTTCCTGACGCCCCATTCGCTCTCAATGGAACGACCATCTCCGAATGCAACAGCTATGTGTACCTAGGTCGAGAGGTCAACATGACAAATGACCTGGCACCCGAGCTGCGCAGGAGGAAGAGAGCGGCTTGGAACGCCTTCAAGAACGTCGAAGAAATAGCTAAGAGGACGAAGAACCTCCGGCTCCGGGCACATCTCTTTGATTCCACTGTTCTTCCTGCATTAACATATGCCTCAGAGACCTGGGCCCTACGCAAACAAGATGAGAACGCCATTCAGGTCTCCCAAAGAAGAATAGAAAGAGCTATGCTTGGAATATCACGTTTCACTCAATTGAGAGAAAGAATCCGGAGTTCTGACATCCGTCGACGATCAAGGATCAGGGACGCTGTCTCATTTGCCAAGGTGTCGAAAATCAGATGGGCTGGTCACGTAATGAGATTTAAAGACGACCGTTGGACTAGAGCTGTTACTGATTGGATTCCACGGGATGTCAA